GTGTCTGGGGGTGCTTGGCTCTTGTCCGCGACACCTCCGCGGACAAGCTCTCGCCTCGCGCCGTTCCTTGTGTCTTCCTTGGTTTCCCTGAGGACTCCTCTGACTTCACCTTTTACCACCCTCCCTCTCACCGGTTCTTTGACTCCCGTGACGTCCGTTTCGAGGAGTCCACCCCCTACTACGTCAGGTACTTCAGTCGAGGTCTCCCGGTCCCTCCCCCCCCTCTCTTCCTGACCGCCGCTCCCCCTCCTGCTCCCCCGGTACAGCCTCCCCCCCCTGGTCCAGCCCCGTCCGGTGTGTCCCAGGCTACCCCTCCCCCTTCGGTAGCCCCTCCGGTACAGCCTAACTCCCCACAGTCTTCCTCGCCGCGTCCTGCAGGTGCTCGCTCTAGAGAGGTTGGTACTGAGACAGTTCCTGTACCGGTTTCTGGTTCTGGGGGTGCTGGAGTTGGAGCTGAGCCGCGGGTTGCAGAGGACTCTCGTCTTCCGGGAGCTGGTGCTGGTCGTGCGGAGTCTGGAGGTGCTGCGTCTGGGGGTGAGAGTGAGACCCCTTCGGTTTCTGGTGCGTCTGGGTCTGGAGCTGGTGTTGGTGCTGACTCTGGGGGTGGTGCGCCTGGTGCTTCGGAGGTGGACTCTGGGGCTGCCGCTGCCCCGGACACTACTACTACCCCCCACCCCTACCCGACCAGGTTCCAGGCTCGTGTTCGCCGTGCTCGTGAGGAGCAGCTGGAGTTGGAGCGAGAGGAGCGAGAGTTGCAGCGGCTGGAGGAGCAGCAGCAGCGGCAGCAGCAACAGCAGCAGCAGCAGCAGCAGCAGCAGCAGCAGCAGCAGCCGCCTCCTCCTCCTGTCTCGGGTCTTCGGACCCTTGGTCTCCCCTCTCGCTCTCCTTCCTCCTCCCCCTCTCCTCCCGTCTCTGGTCCTCCGCTTCCTCCTCCTGACCCCTCTCCCGCTGTTTTCCCTCGTTCTCAGTCTTCGTTGTCCCCTCCTCCTTCTCAGACTTGGGCCTCTCGTCGCTCCCCTCGTGCTCGTCCCTCGTCTCCTGTTCCCTTCACTGACCTTCGTACTGCCTTACTTCGTTCTAGTCCACCTCGTCCGTCTCCGTCTGTGCTTCCGTCTCCTCCTGAGTCGGCTCTCACTGCGTCGCTCCCTACTCCTGTCACTGACTACTACCGCACGTACCGTCCTGTTCTCTCTCGTGTTCTCGCCTCGCTTGTTACTCACCCTCGTGCCTCTGTGTCCTCTGTGTCCGCTCTTACTGCCGCAGTCACTGACTTTGCCTCTACCCGCCGCCTTGACTTCGCCACCGGTCTTGTGGCTGCTCCTCCTTCCAGTCCTCTGGCCGTCGGGGGTGTGTCTGCCCTTGGCTGTGACGCCCTAGAGGACAGGCAGTTTGAGCTAGAGTTCCTGGCAGCCGCTTCCCCTCATCTCTGTGCCATGCTCCTCGCCCCTGAGGGTGACCCAGACGCCCTTGACATTCCGACTCCTCGCACTTACGCTGAGGCAGTGTCAGGGCCTTGGGCCTCTCAGTGGAGAGCTGCCATGGACGCAGAGATGGCCTCCTACAGATCCACAAGCACCTACGTCGATGAGGTTCCCCCTCCTGGGGCGAACGTAGTCGACGGCATGTGGATCTACAGGGTGAAGCGGCCACCGGGATCTCCTCCGGTCTTCAAGGCGCGTTACGTGGCTAGAGGTTTCAGTCAGCGCGAGGGAGTTGACTTCTTTCAGACCTTCGCGCCTACCCCGAACATGTCCACTCTTCGGGTGTTACTACACGTAGCAGCACAGAGAGACTACGAGTTACACTCTCTCGACTTCTCCACTGCTTTCCTTCAGGGCAGTCTTCACGAGGAGGTCTGGCTGCGTCGTCCCTCTGCCTTCACTGGCACCTTCCCTCCTGGGACCCAGTGGAGGCTGAGGCGACCTGTCTACGGTCTTCGCCAGGCCCCTCGTGAGTGGCACGACACTCTGCGTTCTACCCTCTCTGACCTTGGGTTCCAGCCGTCTTCTGCCGACCCGTCGCTGTTCGTTCGTCGCGGCTCCACACCGTTCTTTGTTCTGGTCTACGTCGACGACCTCGTTTTCGCCACTGCTGACAGGGTTGCTTTGGCAAACGTGAAGTCCGAACTGCAGAAGAGACACACCTGCACTGACCTTAATGAGCTGCGCCACTACCTTGGCCTGCAGATCACCAGGGACAGGGCACCATTACACTTTCACTGTCACACATGGTGCAGCAGGTCCTTCAGCGGTTCGGGCTTCAGCACTCCACAGTACAGCGCACACCTCTTGCTGTTGACCACAGACTCACTGGACCCTTTCCTGACGAGCCGTTTGAGCCTAGTGGTCCCTACGCAGAGCTTGTGGGTTGCCTCATGTACCTGATGACTTGTACTCGCCCGGACCTCGCCTTCCCTCTCAGCGTCCTTGCGCGCTTTGTTGCGCCAGGGAGACACCGTCCTGTTCACTGGACAGCAGCTGTGAGGGTGGCGAAGTACCTAGCGACGACATCAGGCGTGGGGCTAGTTCTTGGAGGGCAGCAGTCTGTCGTACTTACTGGTCACTGTGACTCTTCTTACGCTGACGACGCTGAGACTCACAGGTCTACTCAGGGGTACTGTTTCAGCCTGGGTTCTGGAGCTGTTTCCTGGCGGTCCACGCGCTCCTCTTCGGTCTCGACCTCTACAGCTGAGGCTGAGATCTAAAGCGCTTCCACCTTATGACCACCAGAGGTGCTGTGTGCAGTTAGGCCTTGTTGACACTGGTTCTCGTCTTGTGTAGACTTGAGTTGACTGTTTGTCTTGCTTGTACATTTGCTGTATATCTTGTGAGTTCTTGGACTGGCCTTGTGGCCACTGGTGTTTGTGCTCAGAGTGTGTGGTGACGTTGTGATCCACCCTGAGCTTTGTTTCTTGGACTGGTCTTGTGACCGTACTCTTTTGGTTCTGCTAGACACCCCTCACTTAGGCTATGGGGGTGTGTCAAATGTTGTAGCCTATAGTGAGGATTGTCTTAGGGGGTACAAAACTTAGGGTTAGCTATATGTACCCCAACCAACATCAATGCAGAAGATACCCCAACTTCTGAGAAAGGCTCAGCACCAATTAGAAACGAGCTTCACATTGGCTGCCGAGCCGGCCACGTTCGGCAATCCCGCGTGGGAAGGTAAGGTTCGTCTTTCTACGTGTTGGAGTGAAATATTCTGCATTTGTTTTCAATTCTGATTCTGTTCTGTTATTGCAACGCATGTCCCCTACAATGATGGGTTGGGTTACATGACACATTATTGTTCAACAACCAATCGGGGCTCTTGGATAGCAATTTCCATTGCCTTTTTTTCTCCCAGCACCTTCAATATACTTTTCCACCCTTCTATTTACGCAATCCGTCATTTCTCATTGGTAAGTACATATAGGGTGGGCATTACGAGAAAAAAATGTTATTTCGAGTCCCGGGTTTACCATTTGGTGTGACTTGGCGCTATTTCTCATTTTCGAGACCAAGATTATTGTCACGTTTCATGGATACGGGCAAAAAAATTGCCACGTGTCCATGCTTGTGTAGATTTCACGTGCTGCAAAATTCACGTGCTGCTGAAACAAATGTTAGTTTTTTTGGGTGTAAAAAAATCTAAAACCCCTAAAGGACCAGGGACCACTTTTTATGGATCTGCGGAGAGACACTCAACAATGGTAGTGAGCTAGACTACGGGCTTGGCACGAACTACTATGACTGATCGTAGCTTTGCTTGCGTTCCTTAGCACTTGCACATTCACGGGAGAAGTTGGCAAGAGTTTCCACTAGCAAAGTTGGAATTTCAGAATAATAGAACAAGCAATGACAACAATGACTACATCAGGCACCTAGCAACCCTGCAGCTAGCCTGGTCGACCGCCAGCACAGCTTGGTCGACCGCCTGCCAGCGTTGCGTAGAGGAGCCGCGCCAGCACTGCAGAAGGGCGACCTGCCAACGCAGCAGGATGACGGCGTGCCAACACTGCAGCAGTGCGGCTGTCCGGCGTAGCACCCGTAGATGGCAGCAGTGCGCACGCTCGCAGGTGCGCGCAGACGATTGGCCCGACTTGCATCGTTGTGCATCCGTCGGCTGTTGTCTGCGCCTGACGAGCCACATCGACTTCGGAATACCACATCGAACTGTTGTTCGCGTGCCTCCGGTGAACTCATCGAGCAGGTTACCCGGTCGACCTGGACACCACCAGGTGCTCTGGTCGACCACCAGTGCCTCCGGTCGACCACCAGGTGCCTCTGGTCGACCACAGCTCCCTCTGGTCGACCACCAGGTGCCTCTGGTCGACCACAGCTACTGTCGAGCTACCCCCTGGTCGACGGACCCCTTCTGGCGACGAGAACTATCAGCTGATATCGGCGAGCTCCCCTCGTTGACCGGTGCTCACTTGTCAGGTCGACGGAATGCTCTGTCGAGCTCCCGGTCGAACTGCAGGTCGACGGACTGCTCTGTCAACCTCCCGGTCAAGCTGCAGGTCGACGGACTGCTCCATCGACCTCCTGGTCGAGCTGCCCCTCCTGGTCGACGGCCCACCCGTCGCCCAGACCAGTCAGTTGCAGCTGTCGAGCTCCCTAGTCGACAGCAACCCCTAGATATGAGCACGAACCGAACTCAAACGTGTTTGAGCAAACTTTCTCGAACTTCGCATGTTGCTCGAACCGAACCAAACATGTTTGCTCGAACCTTTTTCATAATTTTAAGGTTTGAGGTTTGAGAATACAATGGCGAACCTGAAAGGTTTGCTCAAACCGTATAAGGTTTGAGTGAACTCGATCCTTTGCAGGTTTGAGGTTTAAAATACTGCACATGTTATTCTACAGCACATGCATATCTAGGGTGTGTGAACGGCATCATGTTAAAAAAAAAGAAGCAAACGCGAGGGTCTAAAAACCCCCAAGGGTCCAATCAAGAGAAGTCTAAAGGAAAATTGGAGCATAGTTTAGCAACACCCATCCACACGAACCCATAACACCCTAGCCCTGGCCCTCTCCCACACCCGCAGCACATGTCGCCTCCCCCCCCCCCTCCACCTCCTCCTCCTCCTCCTCCTCCTCCTCCTCCTCTTCCTCCTCCTCCTCCTCCTCCTCCTCCTCCTCCTCCTCGCAGTCCTCCTCTCCCTCGAGCCCCAAGTCCACTGCAGCTGCAGCACTGGCAGAATCTGCCCCATCACCGATACGACCGTCAGGGTGCGTGTCGTACCAAGACCGTAGAGTCATGCACGACCGCACACGCTCGGTGTTCAGGCGTGTGCGCTGGAATGTGATCAAGTTCCTGCTCTGTGAAAAAGCTCGCTCGCACGACGCCGAGGTGGCGGGAATCGCCAGATAGTCCCTGGCCATGGCTCGCAGCGTGTCGAGGTTCTTCACTGTGCGCCAGAACTCGAGGGGGGATAGGTCACCAGTCTCTTCATGCCCCACATATCTGTCCACCTCATCGCCCAACTGCCTAGCCCCTCCTAGCCCGGAAGCAGATACTCGCGCAATCAAGCGTCACCTACTGCCAATAGCCTCATCCCCCTCAATGTCAGCTGCTGGAGCTGGCGCTGCTGCTGCAGGTGGAGGCGCAGGCGCTGTCGCTGCTGCCCGCGCCTGGTAATCCGTCACACGTGTGCGCACTAGGTCTAGGATCCGCTCCACCATCACTGGGCCCGTTGCTCGCCTCTCCCTCCCATCCTGAACCAACTCTGGGTGCCTTGTCTCGAACGTGCCTAGAGCGAAGTACCCATGTCGCATCGCTGGATCAAGGAACGTGGCGATGAGCAGGTCGTCGCTACTGGCGTACACGTACTTCTTCAGGTGCCCCAGCGCAGCGACAGTCATCGCCCTAATCAGCGGGGACGGCGTGCTATGGCGCTTCTCCTCCAAACTGTCCAGCAGGTCGTTGTAGCTCGGAATGACCATGGAGATGGTCGGATAGAGCGACCCCTCTGCTGCCTTGCTGACGGCGTTGAAGGGTGCAAGAAACACCTTCAACGCCACAAGCGCCTCCCAGTGGTCATCTGTCAAGCGGAGCTTCTTATAGCGCTTCCGCTCCTTCTTTGTCGTGCCCTGGGGTCAGGGTTTAGGGAGGAGGCATTGGGGGTAGAGACCAACGATTAGGATGTCGTACTAAATCTTGCGCCAATACAAGCAGTACAACAATTTGCAGCAAAGGCCATGCGCACTATCATACCTGGTCATCGTAGAAGTGGACGTGGATCGCCCTGCGCAGCTCGAGGAAGCGGACCGCCATCTCATACGTCGATCCCCATCGTGTAGGACTGTCCTGGACCAGCTTCAAGGGCGCTCTATCCGGGTACGCCCGCACCTGCTCCGCCTAGAAGTTCGCCGTGCGGATGGGGGAGTACCCAACGAACACCGCAACGTCTCGCACCAGCCGCAGGGTCTTGCGCACAAGGGGCACCTTCAGTGCTGTCTGGATCGCCAAGTTCAGCACGTGCGAGGTGCACCTGAGGTAGGGCGAGAGGAGGGGTGGGGACGGTGCACAAATGTCATGTCACGATACATGCCGGGGGTGAAAGGACCCCCGACATAAACAAACACAACGACTTAAAGACACACGAAACCCTTGCGTAGTAAAGCTAGTTACCTGACGTGCATGCCTGGGCGGAAAATGGCAGGGCGAGAACTACCACCCGAGAGGAGGTGGAACGCGCGGGTGTTGCTAGACGCGTTGTCGCTCACGAAGGCGACACAACGGTCCACCAAGTCCCAATCACGCACCACCCGCAGCACCAAGTCCGCAATCTGCTCTCCACCGTGTCGCCCTCTCATTTCACGGAAGTCCAGCGTCACCTCCCGCAGCTTCCAGTCTCGTGTCACAAAGTGACCCTTTATCACCGAGTAGGCCTTCCCGTTCCCAGATATCACTGGAGATTGCGACTCCTGTGGGGCGCTCTCCAGGCTGTGGTGCCAAATCAGCCATCGCCTCCTCCCGTGCGCGCTCCGCAAACACAACTACATCGCGAGCAACCGTCCACCTAGATGGAAGGACTCGAACGTTCGCGACGTTCGGGTTCAGCAGCAGCATCAACTCGCGGAACTGCGCGTGACATTCAGAAGGATGGACAACAATGGCGGTGAGGTATCACGACAATAAGTGAAAGACACCCCAGAATTGAAGAATGCAAGACATCGAGGCATATGGCAACGTAGAATTGCCAGAAACAATCATCGTTATTGGTACTCACCGCTTCCAGCTCCACAAAGCGGAAGGGCACGTTGCCCGTCACCACCAGCTTGGTGAGTGCCTCCCGCAAGGAGCGCACGCTGAACCGGTGGCCCACAAAGCGCTCCATCCCCCCCCTTCCACGAATGCCGCCCTGACGTCCAGGGATGTTTGGCCACTGCGTGCAGTACGGCCAATCGATCCCCCCATTAGGCACGCCCTCATACCCTCCCTCCGGAAATGTCTCACCCTCACCCACTAGACTGTTGTTCCATCGGTGCTCCCAGATACCCAAATGTGCACGGTGCTTGGAGTGATAGTGCTGCTTGCCGGATGTGGTGGTGCTGTTCTGCCATGAAATCGTAGTTGGGCACATCTTGCACTTGCGCCGTTCGTTGTTCTTAGGGCCGTACATGTGGACAGTCATGCGTAGCTCAGCGTCATCGATCGGTGCACGTGGCCGTCGCCGAGGCCTAGACTCGTCCACAGATGCCTCGATCAGCGGGGAACGACGGGACGTGCGACCCCGCGCCGTCGCACCTCCACCTCTCGTCCCCCTCCCGCGACCCCTCTTCTCGACACGCCCACTGCGCACACCACCAGCCCGCCCCTGACCTGCTCCACTCGCCGCACCTTGCTGGCGGCGCGCCGGCCTACGTGCACGCCTCCCCTCATTTTCGCCAACCCCCTCCTCATCGTCGCCCTCTTCCTCGTTCTCCTCCCCACCATCCTCCGCCACCAGGTCATCCATTTCGTGGTCCTCGTCATCGGCCGCATCACCCCCCTCATCTGTGGGAGAGTACGCGCGTTCACTATCTTCGCCACTGCCCGAGCCATCCTCCTCATCCCCACTCTCCCCTACCACACGGTATTGCACGTGCTCCTCCTCCTCCTCCTCCTCATCCTCCTCCTCATCCTCCTCATCCCCCTCCCCCTCCCCCTCCCCCTCCCCCTCCCCCTCCCCCTCCCCCTCCTCCTCCTCCTCGCCCGCCGCAACACCCTCGCCATGTCCCGCGGCAGCACCTTCCACACGGGAACTAGCACGCACACCCCGCAGCTCCGTGCCCACTCTGAATGTGCGAACCGACCCCGGGAGTCCCAAGGAAACCTCCCCAAATCGGGCCGGTTGATCACGCGGGGGAGCATTTTCCGGCCCCCGCTCGTTCGTCCCCTCTTGTTGCTCACTGACGGCGGCATTCCGGGGCTGAAAGTACTTCGACATAATTCCAGTCCCTACACCTCCCTAAAAAACTGAAGTTTTTGGTCCAAGACCTAAAAAGCGGAATGCCTTGAATTGAACTAGTGTTATTAAACTTAAAGAAACCCATCATCTCTGGAACTTGATGAAGGCGCACTGATCTACCCTAAATTATAGACGAAATGCATGGTAGGATCTAGAGGATCCATGGTTGTGTTGTGTGCTTAGAGCCTAGAGTAGGATTAGATCTAGATCTAGTCTCTAGATGCCTAGGTCATCGACTTTAGGGTTGGCTGCCGTAAAATGGCAGCCAACTCTAGGACTTTCCCGTTTTTGACGGGAAAGTCGCGAGAGGTCTTTCGAAGCGCGATTATTTTATCTCGAACCCCCCGATGTTCGAGATGAGCATATTCAAACCTCGAACCTGTTCGGTTCGAGGTTCTTATCGCGAACCCAAAATGTTCGCACGAACGGTTCGCGCGAACATCAGTCAAGTTCGCGCGAACTTTTTCCACGAGAAAAAAAGTTCGGTTCGAGATAGCTCGAACCGAACATCTCGAACCGAACTGAAGTTCGGTTCGATGCTCATATCTAGCAACACCACAATGTTCCCCTGCAGCTTGACAAAGCCTGTCGAGCAACTCTCCCACTGTGAACGGCCGGCTGCATCTCTCGTACATCCGACCAAGTCATCGGCGTTGCCCAAGCGAGGGCGGGGCCAATACTCCACTCCCGTAAACATGATCAACCCTAAACACCATGGCAGTTCCCGTGTTTAGGGTTGATCCTATCCGAATTGCAACACTCTTAGAGCGTTAACCCTAAATACCGGGCCATTTCCCGTGTTTAGGGTTGATGCTTCCCGAATTCGGTCCGTGCCATGGGGGGTTAATTTTTTGTCGACCGCTGCGTCAAAATGTTCCAGAGGAATTGCGATCGACACGTGGCGATTTTTTTTGCTTGTATCCATGAAACGTGACACTAATCTGGATGTCGCGTGCGAGAATCTGTCTAAAGTATCCCTCAATAAATGAACGTACGGGTAGAAAATACAATTTACCAGTAATACCCACCTAGTATATTCTTATATGAAGATTGGAACGAGAATGATTGCATTGAGCAGCATGAGGAGTACAAGTATGAAACCCTAGAATGTTGTACCCCGTATGAGCTACCCCACTACAGCCTACACAGACTATAGTGTATAAGTTTGACACACCCTCATAGGCAAAGTGGGGGAGAGCAAGGGGTCACAAGACCAGTCAAGCAAAGCAAGGCAAGGCAAGCTCAGGGTGGATCACAACGTCACCACACAGTCTGAGCACAAGTTCAAGGCCAGAAGGCCAGTTCACATGCAAGGGTACATATATATAACGCTAAACAAGCAAGGGCAGGTATATATATGTAACAGTACAAGCAAGGTCAAGAAGTAAGCAAGTGAGGCAAGGTAGGCACAAGACCTAACAGAGTGCAGAAGCGCTGATGATCACAAGGCGCGAGTGCCTTAGTGAAGATATCAGCAGTGTTGGCCTGAGAGGCCACGTAAGCAAGGCGCAGCTGACCACGCTGCTGCAGCTCACGAGCAAGAAAGTAGCGGAGAGCGATGTGCTTCGTTCTGTGCTCCAGTCTGTGCTCATGACACAAGGCCAGCATGGCCTTGTTGTCGACGTACAGCACTGGAGGAGAACGAGGCGGCTCTCCCAGGTCAGTCAGCAGGTAGGTGAGCCAGCGTAGCTCCTGTGCAGCCATGGCCCCTGCGTAGATCTCAGCCTCACAACTGGAGCCGAGAACAGAAGACGAGCGGGTAGAACGCCAAGAAACAGAGCCGGAACCAAGGCTGAAGGTGTAACCCTGTGACAACCGCTGCGTAGCCTGGTCGTCAGCCCAAGAAGCGTCTGCGTGACCAGTGAGGACCACTGAACTATGCCCTCCAAGCACAAGCCCCATGCCCGACGTACTGCACAAGTAGCGCAACACCCTCTTCGCTGCAGCCATGTGCTCTGGTCTGTGTCTCCCAGGAGCAACAAAGCGTGCCAGAATGCTAAGAGGGTATGCAAGGTCAGGTCGAGTGCAGGTCATCAGGTACATGAGGCAGCCGACAAGCTCTGGGTACGGGCCACTCGACTCTACGGACTCATCCGAAGGCAGAGCTGAGAGCGAGTGGCGTGTAGGCAGAGGAGTGGCCTGAGGCGAGGAGTACGTGAAGCCGAAGCGCTGAAGGACCTGTTGCACCATGTGTGACTGAGTCAGGGTAATGGTGCGCTGTGCTCTGTCCCGGGTGATCTGCAAGCCAAGGTAGCTGCGCAGTTCACCCAGGTCTGTGCACGTGTGTCTCTTCTGCAGCTCGGACTTCACGTAGGCAAGTCCAGCAGTGTCAGCTGTAGCAAAGACCAAGTCGTCGACGTACACGAGGATGTAGAACGGCGGCAAAGAAGTGTCGGTGCGCAGAAACAGCGACGGGTCGGCAGTAGAAGGAGCAAACCCAAGGGCCGCAAGTGTAGTCCTCAGTGTGTCGTGCCACTCACGCGGCGCCTGGCGGAGACCGTAGACTGGCCGCCGGAGGCTCCACTGGGTGCCAGGAGGAAACGTCCCAGTGAAGCCAGGTGGGCGGCGCAGCCAGATCTCCTCGTGCAGGCTGCCCTGCAAGAAAGCAGTGCTGAAGTCAAGAGAGTGCAGCTCGTAGTCTCGGTGAGCAGCTATGTGCAGCAGCATCCGAAGAGTGGTCATCTTCGGGGTGGGGGAGAAGGTCTGAAAGTAGTCAACTCCCTGCCGCTGACTGAAGCCACGAGCCACGTAACACGCCTTGAAGACAGGCGGAGAACCCGGCGGCCGCTTCACCCTGAAAATCCACATGCCACTGACGATGTTCGCCCCAGGCGGGGGAACCTCGTCAACGTAGGTGCCTGTGGACTTCCAGAAAGCCATCTCTGCGTCCATGGCTGCCTGCCACTGAGAGGAGTAGGGACCCTCTATCGCCTCCGCGTAAGAGCGCGGAGTCGGGATGTCAAGTGCATCCGGGTCTCCCTCAGGGGCAAGCAGCATGGACACGAGATGAGGTGAAGCAGCAGCCAAGCACTGGAACTCCTCCTGCCTGTCCTCAAGGACGTCCGTGCCAAGAGCACACTCACCCCCGACGGACGGAGGACAGACAGACTCAGACTCAGCGACGAGACTGGTAGCGTAGTCTAGGCGACAGCGAGCAGCGAAGTCGACAAGCTCAGCAACTAGGGCAGACGCAGCAGTAGACTCAAAGGAAGGGTCAGTGACGACAGTAGCAAGGAGACGCGTGACAGTAGGACGCGCAGCACGAAGGGAGTCCGACTCCGGGTCAGGAAGGTCAGGAAGAGAGGACGCGGGAGGAGAAGGCAAAGGGGCACGCAGCGGAGCAGTGGAAGGACGCAGAGACATCCGGTGCGTGCCGGGGACAGGGGGAGGACGCTGACGTGAACCACGACCACTAGTGCGAGCAGCGCGGACAGGCGACGCAGGGCGAGACGCAGGCTCACGACGCTCAGCAAGACCTCCAGTAGGACCAGTGTAGGGAGAAGGAGAAGGAAGCGGGGAAGGTGGCTGGAACCGTGACTCAGACTGGACAGGAGGCGGACACTCTAAGGCAGGAGCAGGTTCAAGAGAGGACGGAAGACCAAGAACCTGCTCAAGGAGCGGAACGAAGTACGGCCGCGGCCGCGCAGCTCCACCAGTGCCAGCAGGAACAGCACCAGCGCCCCCAGCGGGAGCACCAGCACCAGGAGGACCCGCAGCTCCAGCAGCTCCAACTCCAGCACCCTCAGCAGCACCAGCGCCAGGAGCACCCCCAGCGCCAACACCCCCAGTAGCTCCAGCTCCAGCCGGACCACCCGAAGACGCAGCAGCTCCAGCTCCAGGAGCTCCAGCAGCACCAACGCCAGCAGCACCAGCAGCACCAGCAGCACCAGCAGCTCCAGCTCCAGGAGCACCAGCAGCACCAACGCCAGCAGCACCAGCAGCACCACCAGCTCCAGCAGGAGGAGCACTCGTAGGGCCAGCAGCTCCAGTACACTCGGTACGAGCACCTCTGGGACCCTCGGCACCAGCACTCTCAGCAGCAGTAGAACCCCCAGCTCCTGCAGCACCACCAGCTCCAGCAGCACGTCGCCAGCGCCGGGCGAACCACTCACGCAGCTCCTGTGGAGAGAGCAGCTCCCGCCGGGACGAAGCACCCGAAGAACTGTCAGGCTCAGCACCACCAGACGCCGGACGAGCAGGTCCAGCACCCTCAGGCTCCGCACTCCGAGACCCAGCACCCCCAGGCTCAGCACCCCCAGGCACAGCACCCCCAGGCTCAGCACCCCCAGGCCCAGCACCCCAAGTCGCAGCACCCCCAGGCCCAGCACCCCCAGGCTCAGCACCCCCAGTCGCAGCACCCCCAGACCCAGCACCCCCAGGCTCAGCACCACCAGCAGCACCAGAGTCAACAGCTACCTCGACTGGCTCAACTGCATCTACCTGGGACACACCTGAGGGAGCAGGACCCTGAGGGGGGAGGGGGTCTACCGGAGGGGGGCCTGGTGTAAGGAAGAGCGGCGGGGGAGGGAGGGACGCAGTGCGGTAGGGGAAGAGACGGTAGTAGGGAACCGACTCGTCAAAGGTGACGTCCTGGGACGCGAAGACACGGCGCGAGGTGGGGTGGTAGAACTGCCAGCCTGGCGCGTCAGGGGGAAAGCCAAGGAAGACGCAGGGAACAGCACGAGAGGACAGCTTGTCCGCAGACAAGTCGCGGACAAACGCCCTAGATCCCCAGACCCGGAAACGCGACGCATCACCAACCTTCCCCGTCCACAGCAAAGCAGGGGAGGTCTCCGGCATGGAGACCCGGGGGTGAAGGTTGAGCTGATGCGCCGCGTACCGAACCGCAAACGGCCACAGAAAATGGGGAGCAGCCGCATGGATCATGGACGTACGAGCGACGTCCATGACCATGCCGATGCGGCGCTCAGCAATCCCATTCTGCTGCGGAGAGTCCGGAAGCGTGAAGGTCTGGCGGA